CGTCAACTTCATCGACTTTGAAAAGGCCCTCGACAGCATCGACCGAGAAGTAATTGGCAGGGAGGTGGCTTCAATACTACGGTTTTAGTGCCACAAACCTTTATCAACCTCATTCAACAGGTAGATGAGGACGCCGCATGCCAAGTGATTCACAATGGAAAGCTCAGTGATGCCTTTGAAGTGAAGATAGGAGACCGGAGTAAGTTAAGGTTGTTGCCTACTGTCACCGATGATCTTCCTGATTATGATGGACTGAGTCATGCAGCAAACCGTGAGGAGGGAGAAGACGGGCATATGCTGGCTGGACCGGTGGGAAGACCCTAGAAGATTTGGATTTCGCCGATTATGATTTATGCTCAGTGCCTTTTAGCTCAAACTGGAAGATCTACAAGCAAAAACCAACATGTTGACAAAAGCGGCCAGGCAGAGAAGACCGGACTTCAGGTGAATGTAGAGAAGACAGAGGTGATAAAGATACCCAATCAGCAACAACAACGACAACAACAAGCGCCAATCACCGTCAACGGGAGAAACTTAGAGGGAAGTAGTTTCTTTCACTTACCTATCCAGCATCCTCTCAACTACAGGCGGCACAGATGAGGACGTCAAAATCGGGATCGGAAAACCAGCAAGACAGGCCTTCATTAATCTGAAATCAGTTCGGAGATCTACTGCAATCAGCATCAAGCGCGAACAACATCCGGATTTTCAACACCAATGTGAAGTCGATGCTTCTATATGGTTCAGAAACTCAGGGCGTCACGAAAAGCATTTCCAACAAAATACAGACATTCATTTACAGCTGCCGCCTACGCTCACTCGATACTTAAGATGGAGATCAGATGGCCAGAACATTAAGCATAAGCAACAAGGAACTCTGGCCGGGCAACGAACCAACCAACAACCTATCGCCCAACAAATATGCAGAAGAAAGTGGAGATGGATTGAGTAGGGCATACATTGAGAAGACCGTTCGAGGATATCACACGTCAATGGAAGGTAGAAGGGAATCGACGAGTTGGGGGTCCGAGGCGAGGGTAACATGGAGATCGTGTGAAGAAGAAATGAAAGCTTCTGGGGAGTCGTGGAGCCAGGTTGAAAAGACTGCAAAGACCAGAGTGCAATGGCGACGTGCTACTGAATCCCTGTGTTCCACCCAAGGGACAAATAATAATGAAATAATTAACAGTAACGTTTCAAGATGTCAAACAGACATCAACAAAAAATTACCCTTTCCAAGTTAATAAATATCACACCAATACATTGAAGCTGAATTCAGCAAGAGAAAAGACAAGCAAATGCTAATATTGATATCAGTAGTTGTAAAAACGCCACCAGACACAGGATCACTTGGCAGGCCTGTTTAAATACTATAGGGAATCAGTGCTGGTTACTATTGCTCTAAATAAGATGACCAATTTGAGTCATAATAACTCAAAGAACGCTATGTAGCTCTGATAAGTTTATGGTAACGACTATGTCAAGTGTAAATGATTGGTTGTGAAATCAGTGTAATACGCTTTGGACAAATGGGTCTGTTACTATTACTTCGAGTTCCAAGCCTTAGAAATACAATGTATCATCATTTCCCATCATAAAATTTCAAATTCTTTATTCACCTTTTGGAAAAATAAGCGAAGACCTATCGTCACTTTAATTTGCCAAGTTCAGCATACGGTAGCGATGTCGTCCTGCCATCTTGATGTCTTGATGTTTTTACTCAAATTCAGTTTGGAGGTTTGTGAGGATTTGATCGATTTCAGCTTGATATTCATCATGAATTGACATCAGCTGGAGAAACATTGGAAAGTGGGAGAATTGGACAGTTGTTTCATCCGTATATGAAACAGTGTGCAGTGTGCACCCATGACCCAATGAGAAGTCGTGACTAGTGGGGTTAACCAAGTCGACCAGGAAGACAGTTACTTAACGAAGGCATTAGATGGAGGTCGTATCATATTTGACCTAACAGAAGTAAGAGATATGGACCATTGAATTGTGACCCAGTGGATCAACGGTAGCATGCTGGCTGCGGAACCTAAAGGTCACGCATTCGATACCTGGTAGGGTAATGGGTGTGCACTGCTAAGGAGTCCCATACTAGGACGAAATAGCTGTCCAGTGCTCTAAGGTTTCCAATATTTTTGCTTATTTTTGACTAAGTATTTTGAATAGAGTCATTGACATTGAGAAAACATACTACTCAGATACATTTGTTTTCCTTGCCTTGTTAAACTGTCTAGTAGAAGTTACTATATAAAAATGTGAATATCTTGAGATCAGATACATCGTGATTGGTTTTTTGATATAGTTCTATACTAACCGAACTTCATAGTACTGCCGATAGTCAGAGTAAATTGTGGGTAACTAATTTTTAGCCATCAAAAGAGGAGAGTCAATAAACACTAATGCGTTCCAAATTGTCAAAATCAATAGATGAAGCATGAAAGTATTCAGATAAATTCTGAATTTCTTGTGTAGATGAAGGATATTTTTGAAGTCTTCTGAATGATTATTTTGAAAGCCAATCATTTGAATTTTGCAATTTAATATTTTGAGTAACCAAAAGTTTATTCATCGACACGAAAAGCCTGTCAAGGATAGTGAATGTAGATAACAGCTATATAAGGTAAAAGCTTAGCAATGATTGAAGAATAAAAGGATATTTTGTTAGAGAAGTATGTGAAAAGAAATAGGCCATCTGTTTGATGTCATCAGGGATCATATCTTAATATAGGATTGCAAAATTTGGGGAAATTGCGCACTTTAAGACGCTTCGGTTACGCTACAGTTCTGTGCTGAGGGTGAGGCGGGGGAGGGGAAGGAAGAAAGGAATTTAATGAAACCATTCGATTGAAGTCAATTTACGACTTGGTCAGCAACTAGACCTCATAGCTCAGTTGAAACATCATCTGGCCGGTAAAGTGAAGGTCGTTGGTTTGAATCTGGCTGCAACCCAGGTTTTCATTTCACCTTTAATCCTCACTCGATATTATTAACACCAGTCTACTAAACCATAGTTATTTCTGACAGTCTCGTTCATAAGATATTTTTCTTTAGCTGGTTTATTTAGTCAGATATGGAGTCAGTTTTATCATTCTTTATTCGGTATACAAAGTAGAATAACTAGATCGTTGAATTGACCATAAGACTGCAACTTATTTCGATCAAATTTGATTTATATTCTTCAGTTGGATGTTTGTTTTAGATGATGCCATACGTTTGTTCCTACAGCTGTCATTCAAATGCAAATGCACTCCTCTCTTATAAAAATATCATACTATAGGCCAGGATAATATCCTTTAAGCAGTTTATAAAGTTCTCAATTAGTAATTGTAAACTTGACGGTGTACTGTATACTGGAAATTTTTAGTGGATTGATTAGATTCCAGGTTATTTTCCATCATATGTTGGGGTTAGTTAGGAAACCATTATGAGTCAAGGAGAAACCGATGCATGTTTCCTCCTAGCTTGTCATTTATCAACAGTACAAACCGATGACTTTATATAAGATAAAAGTTAGGAAGTGTCATTTCTCACTGTGAGCACATTAAAATTGATTCAATAGGCGCTCATTCATCCATTTTCGATAGGATTCTCAGAGCTTTAGTGGAAAGCTGTAACTGATTGGGTCAACGAAGCCGGCAATAAGGATGTTTGCTTTCCAGTGACATTGGAATAACGTACCATAATGTGAATATATAGAAGTATTTTAACGCAGTGAATAAGTGATGATGTGCTCACCATGAGATTTGGTGATCCTGGGTTTCATTGTGACTGGATGTTTAGTTTCTATTTTTGTTTGAACGTCTTTTACTTCTACTTTTTAAAGTTCTGCTAATTGATGCTCATTTATGATGGACTATTGTGAGATTTAGCATCACGTATTAGTTGTTCATAAGTAACCACCTCTATCAGGAAAGACAGACAAGGTCACTTATAATTTATGCGTGGTTAAAGTTAAATCTAAAATGTTTATTTAATCGTTATTCATAGCATTTTAAGGGTTATTTTAATCGTTTTTGGTATGTACTGCTTGCTTTTTCATTTTTATATAAGTTGTCTAAGGAATACTCATCATTGGTTTGGAGTACAACTATGTCAGAAGCTGATCGTCTCATGGCTTTAAATGACTCAGATTTTATCCAAGCGTTGAATGACTGTTTGGTAAGTTGCTATGTTAAATAAATCAGCATATGAATATATGATATGTATACTTTAAGTAAATTCATCAGTGTGCTCAGTTAATAAAATGGTGATCAATCCTTCTTAAAAATGCAAGTAATCCTATTACTAAGAGAACCAGATAATGGTAAATAAAAACAGTATGATAACTAGTCGTTTCAATTTGTTCTAAGTTCAGTCGTCATATCTGCATATCTATGTATATTTCTGTAAAAACATTAGTTATTGCCGATAAACACAGAACACCGTTGTTTTTATGTGTCTATTTGTGTTGTGATTATTATTGACAGAATTCTCCATTCATAATAACAAGATAAAATTGATTAAACAAAGGATAGACAGATAAAAAAACACAGAACTAGACACTACAGCGTAACGGTCTAAGTTGTCGTTCTTCATATCGCCACATCAAGCAAGAATGCATCCAGACGAAAAACCGAGTAATAAGGAGGAAATCAATCAGAAGTGGTAAGAAGTCATTCAGAAAAAGTGGGGACGAAAAAAGAGAATACTGAAATTCAGTTTAACGATTAACGTGAAGAGAATGTATGTTATCATTTGCACCATGGAGGTCGATTCTGAGTTATGTTACTTAGAGTCTGAAACCACTGGTTTCTTTCGTCACATGGATCACACCCAGGAAGTTTCACTCTACACACCACAGACCAGCAGTCAAGGACTTCATAAAATGATACTATGATATAGTCTGTCTGCCTCGAACCTTTTCCCAGCCTGCACTTGCTTAAACTAACATTGTGGGATAAGGCGATCTGTGAATAGGATTGAATAATACATCTTGGTGAATGTATCTGTGTAGAGATTTTCTTGGTCACTTACCAAACAGTGCTGATCTGACTTTTTACACGAGTTAGTGAAGTGGTCAAGGTGCTCAACCATTTTACAATGCACTGTTAGACAAAGCGTCAGCGAATACCAACACTGGAGCAAGTATTTGGATAACGAGAAGCGCATTCCAAACATTCTTGAGTCGCCACTCTACGTGTCCAGAAGACTGCATCTTTATAGCATGCTCACCCAACAAGAGTGTTTGGTCCGCGTATTTTAAATCTACTCAGGAGTTTCCTGTGATATGACCCTATGCTATTAAGCTGGACAACGATAACATTTAATGGGAATGGAAAGAGCGGATATCCTTGTCAGACAGAACTCGATACTGCCATAAGACCTCTCGGTTGACGAAGTGCATTGAAACCACCAGCTGAGCACTTGTGTTTCGGTAGGGCTACACAGTTTCTGGTAAAATTCACGCTTCACTTCTGCCAGACTGCAGTCAGTGAGTGCATAAGCAGTGATTACAAAACGACATTAGTAAGCCTCACTATTCCCTAAAGAACTCTCTGTGTCATTCAGTCGAACGGTGCACACGCAAATGTCAGTTGCGATCCAGTCGAGTAGTGGACGTTCTACTTTAGTTCCACGAGAACTAGCCATCGAATCTTCAGGAAGTCGAAAGGTGAATTCGGTAGATTCATCATTGTCATAATCATAGTTTATGTGAATCATCACACTTGAGTCCAGTCTCTGAATCTCGCAAATACAGCACACATCCATGGCCCGTTACTCCAGGGTTTCGTTTAGCGATGGTTGCTGTTCGATTTGAAAGAGGGTGCCGACATTAAAAGCTCCATTGTGTGGTTTGCAGCACGGGTACAGGAGACCAAGGATTCTGTTCCGTTAACTCGAATCGTTATCATGGATTGCAGAGCTGTGGGACATTAAAGATGATGTAGGAATGTTAACCGAGATAAGTGAACAATGATTAGAAGGTAAGGATGTGGAAGGTTGCTAATGATCTGAGGGGACTTCAGTGCAGACAAAGTTGTGAAGGTGGCTGACACTTCCTACGTGCACATTTCGTGGAAGTCTGTCTCTTCTTGAGATACCTCTAAGATAAGGGATAGTGCGTGACTGCTCCCGCCAACTGAAATCTGCTTGGACCTGTCCACCTTTTTTATGTGTTGGATTTGCGTTTATTAGTCTTGATTCCGTTTACGACTCCGTACGGCTGGCATTAATAGGCTATACATTAGAAGGAATTGTGCCATTTTCGGTCCTGATCTTTTCTAACCTTCCTCCCCATCCTCCTTTGCTTCTGCAGGGTGTCTGAATGAGAAGTTTTGCGTAACGGCAGAGCGCATGAAACACACACTTGAATCCAGTCACTGACGGTCGTTTTGGAAGTTTAAGATTTAGATTTGTTAGTTTTGACTCCGACTATGAACCTTGGTCGCTGGCATCGCCATGTCGCCAGGTAGTAGGAGTGGGCCAAGTCTGGGCCGATCTTTTCTAGCCCTACCTCTCCGATCTAGGCTTGCTCCCCTGTTTTCATGAAAAAAGAATTTATCTTTTCTTTTGAATATTGAAACAATCAGCAAGTTTTACCAAAATTGACGGTATCATATCTGATTCACCCACCGCGGCTAGTAACTCAGTCAACCCCGTCAATACTTGTTGGTCACTATCCTCCATCGCTTCACATCCCAGCTGTCCTAAATTCACCAGGAAATGGAAGTTGTGTATTAGTGTATCATTCAGGCTGGAACTTGATAGCTGTAAATCAACTTATCTGTTCTGTTTATCCACTGCAGTCACGCCTCCTGTGTTGAATCATAGACGTACAGTTTCCGTTATGATATCACTAACCACCGGTTTTGTCACCTCAATTTCCGTGTAAAGCCCAAATAAATGTCTACTATGCTGTATCACCACGTATTTAACCTTCACTTATGGTCATTGTGTGAATTCTTTATCATCGTATTCCTAACCTGCCCCTATTCATTGTGTGAAAATGCATCGATAGACATTCGTTAGTTTGGATAGAGTAGCTCAGATTTCCGAATACTTTATTTAGTTTTGTCTGAAGATCATTTAGGATTTTAATTAATGTTTTTATTAAAAATGAAGATTATATCAGGTTTCTGCATGATGTGAAGCATTATCACGATCTGTTAACTACCTGGCCAGTTCTTCTTTGGAAGCAGTCTTAGAATACTAACCACCGAGTTGAGCTGGGAGTAGTGTTTAAGTTTTAGTTTTCGTACATCCATTTGGGTGCAAGCATACGTGTGATCATAGTTCGAGTATGCTTTTCTACTGTTTCTTCAGGGACAACTTGAAGCAATATGCTGCATTTGTGTCCGCTGTTGAAGTCGGTGACAAGTAAAATTCTCTTCTTATGTCTAAAATTCATGTTGGCTTAAGAAACGTGGTTATCTCAGCACAGTTGTAGTAGGCAATTATCACTGTCACTTCATTTGGTTAAATCCATTTGTACTACTTAGTCTCGTTCTACCTTGCTTGACATTCCCCCCGTTACGAAAACCACATTTGGATGTTGAGTGTATACGGATTTGCAGCGTTTTTCTATAGGATTTGTTTTTCATTTCATCGTAATTGCCATCAGTTGGTGTTTAGGCGAAGATTACAAAAAGTCAAGGGATTTTGTCATCATTATTTTCAATCCGGACTGTACCATTCAGTCAAACAATACAACTAGTAAATAATCGAGTGATATGGCTTTTGCAATTGAGTTCAACCCTATATTTACACCTGAGTTTTACTTATTTGTCTCAGATACACAGTTGAAGATGCCAGAGTTCTGGTTATTAGGGCTTATTGTTCGATATAACGAAGTGTGCTGACGTTAAAACCTCCGGTATGCAGTTTGCGGCGCAGTTTCAGGATACCATGGATGCTGATCCATGAACTATAATCACTGTCGTCACCCATACAAATAGAAATAGTTGAGGATGGTGAAGAATTTTTAACAAAGTTATGTGAAAGATTAAAGGCTAACGATGATGAAGGTTTATAGTGATGGTGATTAGGAAGGAACTGAGTGCTGACAGATTTATTATACCAGTTGACACTTTCTGGTTCCTCATTTCCTCAAAATTTACTTCTTCATGAAGCACCTAAAGTAATTAAATTTAAGGAGGTGATCTTATCAACCTGTCTGTTTACGTGATCGTAGAGCCTTAAGAGTATCTGTTTGATGATCCTTAACGCACAGTCATGTGTGAAGTTTTTTATTCGAGTTTAATCGTTGTGTGTTCATAAGCGAAGGGGGACCCTTATCGTGGGCATTAAAAGTTTATATGAGAGTGGAGAATGTACTATTTCTTGTCACCGATTTGTAACGTTTTCTTTAGATAAAAAGAAGGTAGTATAAACCTAGAGTGCTAGTTATCCTCGAGAAACACCTGTCAAACACTAACCGTATGGTTATGTCCTCTTGCTCTCACTGAAGCATTAGTTTTTTAACAGTCACTTGAACCAACATAACTTGTTAAGACTTAGCAATATGCAAAACCAACCATCGCATCGAAGTAACAGGTACCTGTCGGACCTAATATTCACTGTTTAAAACACATGCTTAACCCTATTTTCAAAATACTACATGTCACGTTCATGTGTGCATTTCAGTCCGACTGCTGTTTTAATCAATTGTTCAACACACATTTCTTCCAAACAGGTTCAAGAACACTATTCATCATGGTTACAAGGAGGTTGCATTGAATTAATCAGAGGTTCATTTATCGGACTTTTAGTCAACTTACATGAAAATTTTTCAGAAATCAGAATTGTACGCCAAATGTGGTTTTGAATGTCTGTTCTTACCATGATTTCATTTATTTGTTAAGGTCGGATTCTAAAAAGAAGTAAACTGTAACCACGAAGTTCACTTTCCGATTTTTGATTGATAGAGTCGAATTTCCCTTTCCGGTGAACTAATATGACAAGTATCGTGGGATGGTAAGTGTGCGGGTATAATATATTAAGTTGAGATTGATCCAACTGACACAGGTACAGTCAAGTTCAAAACCTATCTGTCTGGATTGCTGTTTGTGAAATACAGTTAGGTAAAGAGTGCTATTGAGGCTATGGCTTATTGGTGTAGACATTTGGTTTCCAACCGATGGGTCACAGGTTCGAACATCAATTCACCCACCAAGGTTTGGTCAGGGAAATACTATCATTTACCCTCTCATAGAAAGTGTGGTTCATTACCTACTGCATGAATATGCAGTGCTGTGTGGATTTCGCTATTAAAGCATACAAGACAATATAACACTTTAGAGTATGATAAGCTCATTCTATGTCATTTACTTAACTTTCAGTCAAGTTGTATCAGTCATAGTGATACTTTTCTTTTTAAAAAGCTCTGCGTATTTTTGTTTTTATCTTACTAGGCAAAACCTAGTCAACAAACATCTCAACTTGCAACTGTTTTCAGTAAGATAGGCCAGTGTTTTGGTGGCATTGTCGATTATCTCGGCAATCAAAGTAAATCTGTTGACTACGAAAGCTATGAAACTACTGTCCTATCAGCTCCACATGTGGACTCAATTCAACCTAATACTAAAAGGGCCTGTTACCCTTTAGGTTTTCAGCATGCTACAGTTTATTCAGCTCCGCGCCTAGCACTGGTAGGGTATGTTGTATCTTTTTTGTTCCCTCTATGTTACTGAATAACGTTTTCTGATGAAAATGTGTTTGTCGCTTGCTGATGGAATGATTTGTTACCTTCGCCTTTGGAAGTAACACATTTTGCCCTTATCAATAAAGATATAATGATAAGTATTCACTGTTGTTGTAGTCGGAAAGCTAAAGTAGGGGCCCTTCGCAGTTTGTTTTTGACAAACTTTTTCTCATACTTCTAGTCCCTAAAGTTTTCAAATATGAAAATGAACACAGTCGCGAATTTCATTATTGATACAATTTAATTTGAGAAATAAAGGTGACTAACTTGAGAACTTTTTGTCTCTCACCCATATAATATTCCTTAGTAGACTGACTGGCCACTGGAGTGTAACCAATCTCATATGGTTTAGTCCTGTGTACAGACCGAATTGTATCGATCATGTTGCAATGTGGCCACCAGCACGAAATCTGGATCCACGGCTCTCTACCAGTTGCCTCCAACCAACTAACAACATTCCCTAGTAGATTTTTGCAAGAAGTGATTGTCGTCTACAACTAATTCCAATTGCATAAAGAATGACTTTTATCTATGCTTTTATTTGTAGACTTATAAATTCTAGTGTTCAGTTTTGATGAAAATGATCTCATTAAATCATCAGACACTATATATATGAGGGAGACAGGGAGATATACAGACAGACAGACCTGTACTAACAAGAGTCCTGCGTTGTTTATTTTACTGATTAGTTTCAGATGTACTTCATTGAAAATCCAGTTCACCAAACACAACAGGAAAATATGCTGAAGTTCATTGATCATTGATATTTATTTTGAGTTAACAATGGCTAACATATGTAACACACCTCACTATGCTTTAGAAAGATAAAACATTATTCATAGAGGTAAAAAAAAGGCACAGACTATAGTAATTGCAAATTTAACATGGTATTCAACTTACACTTATTGAGTTATTATAATTCATTGGCTATACTGCCTTTCAAGGTGTACATTATATTGAAAGATCAGTTATGGTATTATTATTATTCGTCCCTTGGGTTCCTAGTGGAACATAGGGCTTCAGTAGCACATCTCCATTCCACTCTCTTCTCTGCAATCTTTTAAACCTGGCTCCATGACTGCCCAAAAGCTCTCACATGATCTCCTCCATGTCACCCTCGGATGCCCAACTCCCCATTTCCCATCTGGGTTCCTTTCGAGTGCCTGGTTCGTGATGTCCTCGAATGGTCTTCTCAGTGCATGCCCTACTCAATCCATCTCCACTTTCTTCTGCATATTTGTTGAACGATAGGTTGCTGGTTGGTTCGTTGCCCGGCCAGAGCTCCTTGTTGCTTATTCTTAATGTTCTGGCCATCTTATCTTCAGTAACGAGCGTAGGCAGTTGTTGATGAATATCTGTATTTTGTTGGAAATGCTTTTCGTGACGCGCCGAGTTTCTGAACCATATAGAAGCATTGACTTCACATTGGTGTTGAAAATCCGGATGTTGTTCGCGCTTGATGCTGATTGCAGTAGATCTCCGAACTGATTTCAGATTAATGAAGGCCTGTCTTGCTGGTTTTCCGATCCCGATTTTGACGTCCTCATCTGTGCAGCTGCCTGTAGTTGAAACGATGCTGCCTAGATAGATGAAAGAGACTACTTCCTTTAGATTTCTCCTGTTGATGGCGATTGAATAATGTTATTGGTGTTGGTGTTGTTTGGGTATCTTCATCACCTCTGTCTTCTCTACGTTCGCTTGAAGTCCTGTCTTCCTTCGCTGCCTCACCTCTTCTGCCAACTTGTTAGTTTTCGCCTGTAGATTTTCAAGTTTGTGCGACATTAGACACAAGTCATCGCCGAGATTCAAATCTTCTAAGATCTTTTCATCGGTCCAGCCATCTTATGCCGTCTTCTCGCTCCTCACTGTTATGAAATACTTTACAGAAATTTAAGGGTCTTATAATGTATTTACAGTTCAAAAATCTTGAGCATTGTATTCACCATTAAATGTATAAGTAGTTTCTCAGTGCATTTTACAAACAAAATAAACGTTGTTTCTATGTCAACAATATTCAATTCTTGAGAACTACGGTACACTGATTATTATATGTGACTGAGAATGTCACTTACTTTTTCCATCCGATATTATTAATTCATAAATATCACGCTAGAAAGAGGCTGCAGAACATGTTGCTTTGCATTGACGTTGTACCAGACAGGAGCTAGCCTGTTGAGTACACGAACAGAAAGTGATCGTACTAGTATTTCTAATCGTATAATCTAGTAAGTGTATATTATTTCTTAAATATTTCGAGTCAATAATAGCATCCATGGGTTATTGTTCTTTCGGATTTTGAAGTGATCTTAACCACTGTCATTTTGAATTTTGTTCACTTTTATCATAAGTTGTAAGTATCATCGATGCGCTAAATAGGCCTACTTTTTTTGTTTCTTTACTTCGCTACCCATTTGCACAGTGATTCAGCTCATCGAATACTTCCACTGGCTGGTCAAGGAGTCAATCTTGGATTCGGGGACGTTGTTTCACTTGTGGCTCACTTAGAAGAAGCTATTCGGCATGGAGCTGATATTGGTAAAGATAGTTTATATCGTATTATAGCTAGGGGATTTCATAATTCTTTCTTTGTTCTGTTTTTGAGTTTCTGTCAAAGATATTTTGACAAAGTATTAAAAAGGTGTAACTGATATGAGACTTTAGCAGATGAAAAGTGCTGCTTACGCGTGCTCACTTATTTATCATGTGTGAATGGTTAGCCTGGATATTTAAAGTAGGGTTTTCTTTGATATGTGTGTTCCATATGACCAAGAACAGCTTCCCGCTATCGTTCCCCTCTCCATCCTCTTAAAATTCGCCGAAATAGCTTAATGGGCATCAGTTACTTATAATAAAGTTACAAATATTCAGTGGTCATCACCAGGATGGTATTCATCACCAGAAACCATTTTACTTATCATCTTCATGGACCCTGCTTAGTGTAACAAATGATCGTGTACGTATGGCCTATCAAAAGTGAACCTTTAGTCATTCAATATTAAAATAGGATCTTGCATTACCGAGTAAAAGTCTCAGTTTTCATACCTCACTCCACACAGACAGAAAAATGGACAAAACCAACGTAGAACCTCACACATAGGTACATTGGTTCAATTTGCCACACTTCACAGTAGCATGAAAAGAACAAGTGGATTGAAAAAGAATAATATCAAGGTCAAAAAACTTGCATTAGCGAGGAAACAATCTGAAGACAAAGGTTAGAGAAAAGATTCAAGCTTTAGAAGACGTCAAAAAGTGGATACATCTTTGCCACTGCGACCGATTTTCAGCCGTGTCACCAAGAGTCTCCAACCATTGATTTATATCACCTTGGGACCTAAGCCAGACAGTTTACATCTCCCCACACGGCTCAAACCAACAGTCAGCGCCTTCACCGACTGCTGCCACGTTTCGGTTTGGCCACTCTAAGCCTTCTTCCAACCTACTCCAACTTCTGCTAACACTGCACGTCGTGGTAGGTTGTGGCTTGGCATGTCGATGACATGCCCAAGTCTCCTCAGTCGATGGAGGTTCGCAACATGACCGACTGACCAGTCTTCTGTACCTAGCCTCTACATTGATGATTCCACCATGCATGAGCAATGCTAAAAAGACACATATGACCAAAACTCTGCAGCCGTTTCATGTCTTCTACTTTGAACGATCATGTCTTGAATGCATGTAACAGGACAGAATAGACTGCAGCCCATTATTCTCGTCCTCTGATTGATAATTGGATGTATCACAAGCTTTCGCCAGAAATGACGCAAGTTGGCAAATGCAGAACGGGCCTTCTGTATCCGAACTGAGATTTCGTCATCAACCACTCCCAAATAAGTGAAACGATTGACACATCCCACCATTTCACTTTGTGTTCGCAAACTAGGAGTAGTTGAAGCCCAGTCCTAAGGTATCATTTGACATTTGTTCATATGTGTAGAAGGCACCAAGTCAAAGATAGAAAAAAATGTCATGAAAAGCACATAAAACGCACTTTTTGACCTATCAAATCGAAAACTTATGCAAATCACTTCACTGGGTGTTTCCTTGTACGTGTTGTACACATCACTAGTAAAGCCTTCTAAAGTTTCAATCGAACTTATATATTGTTCACTTTGAAAATTTCCAAATCCTCAAGCTTAGATAACATGTGTATTTTCAGAGTAGTGGAATTGTAATAGCAAATAGATTTTGATGAAGACAACTATCTACTGTACTTATAAACATACATGTAGACCAAAAAATTCAAAGAATGATCTGTGGATGAATGAAATAAGAATTAATGCAAATGTAGAAATAGTTTACACCGATCAAGGTTACTGTTTATGTCTGACAATGATAATACCATAACATAGTCTGGAATATTGTCATTTTATCATTGATGTTAAAAAAAAAAGATTATTTGGTTAAGTGGAAGGTTTTTATGGCAACTGATGTACTTATTGTTTGTATTTCCTGATTGAAGCCAATGACTGTTTCAGGTTTCCATCCCTTTATGCTCCCACTTACTGTCTTATCCACAAGATATTGGGACGACATCTTTAGCCTTTTAAGCCAAGTGTCTTAGAAATCATGATTTTGACTAAAAAGGAGAGGCATGTTTAACTGTTTGCAACGCAACACGGAATTAGGACCATTCGATTATTTATTTGAAAGGAAACTAAATCCTTCAAATATTTTCCTCCCAAAAGGAATGTCGTCATGAAGCTTTCGATTAAATCAATCGGTATTCTTGACTTCGTTTGCCTCTCACTTGCATAATTTTATGTCTATACAGTGACTCTTTTTAATTTTTTTTTCTGTGTACAGGTAGTGCAGCGTATCTCAAAGATTATACAAATGAACGACAAAGAATTGTGGTTCGTTGGCTGGTACCCTAGAATTGATCAATTTGTTGTATTCCACTGATGCATATTGTAATCAGTCCGCTGTATTGTCATGTGAACAAAATAAAACATCTAATTGTCAGGATTCCACAGTCTCATGTCTGGTGAAAAATATTTTTTCAGATATTCGAGGAGCCGGAATGAGCACTGTTCAGTCTAGTGAACTGTTAAAGGTAAGTTTGAAACACTACTTGATGAAAATCTTTTAGGTACTGATAATAATTAAACCTATATTCCGAAATGTAAGCTAATCAATTGTTAGGTGAAAGTTCCAAGCCTAAATTCGGCTGTATTTCTGATCAACTTGGAACATAGCCAAATGTAAATGCTATCGGCATGATATCTTCAAACCACTACGCATACTTTTTTTACATGTCCTGTATAGGATTTTTCCAATGTGTCTATGAAGCTAACTAGCATCATTGGGCTTTAAATCAGTTGTATAGGACACTTATATACATAAATATGTATCTGCCAAACATATGCAGTGTGTTGTTCATTGCTTAGCGCAAGAGCTAGTGATGTACGTTAAGTAATAATTTATCCAATTCAAATATCACCCTTTGAGTTTTATAATTGGCATTGTGATGCAATTAATGTTTCGATGATGGTTCTTATTTGAATAATTCCATTATAGTTCTTTTTCATATGTATCACACAGAAATATAATAAAATTATGCAGATTTGCGACTTCATTGATTGAGGGAGTTAACTTTCGACCAGTGGGTCATGAGTTCGAACACTATTCCACCTAAGGAGATTTAAGCAGCCAAATGAGTAACGGTAACCGTCATATTATAGGTATGACTCACCGCTTCTAATGGACGACTGTACACTAAGTTGCTGAGTAGATTTCGTTTCGTTCCATGATGAAATTTTACTCTATCACAATGTCTAAATTCCTATAAGTAAAACTTTGTGTAAAATACTAAAATTCTTAAAGATATATGGTTGAATGTGTTTTAGCATTCAGGAATAATAGTTCATAAGATTAGCTAGTTAGTGTACACGTCTTGAATATATATGAGCAGGTAAGCATACTATATAGCAGTATACTCTGCTTTACATGAACACATTTAGACATTGGTGTTGACAGTAGATTGTAAAAAGAAGATAAAGATATTTGATCATAGATATTTTCTAGGAGTTTTGAAAATCGTTGGAACTAACATGCATAAAAATGAACAGAAAGGTGATTGCTATTGGCATCTTAGTATAAGGACTTTTTACATTTAAAATGACGTTTTTTATCCTTTTCTATACGCCAGTCATAAGGTCCTCAGTTCGTACGAGTTGACTAGTCTAGAACTTCAACGGTCTCTAATAAAACATAATATCGATGTTAAGTACTTGAATAGTTCATGTGTTGGAGTATTTCTGAAGTCAACTACCTGTCTAATGATTTTAAGGCATTAAATTAAACCATTTAGACTCACCTAGAGATAGTTTCAGTCGTCACATCCTATTGAGCACAAATTTCTAATCTTATTCATTTCAGTGTCTATAGCTTTCTTGATCTCTTCATACGATTGATTGTGTTGGGGGTATTTTCGGTAATTTTTAAAAAATAATCCGATCTGTCAATAGCCACCACTAAATTAACTTTATCGAATTTGGAAATAACTGAGTAACATAGTAAGTTTGCTCGTTGCAGTAGTGATAAAACAGATAGACAATAAAAAGCAGTTAAGGTCATAGTGTAAATTGCTGTTCTATGATGACCGTGCGATGGTGACTCTGTACTCCTGGCTGGCTGGAGCTTGATAGAAGTAACGTGTTACCGTGAATGACTTGCAGTTTATATTGATGCTGCCTTACTTCTGGGAAGTGCAGAGTCAAAAAGCGTTGTATTCAAAAATAGCACACTCCGCGTTCTGCCTTGTTATCTTCCAACACAGGTTATACGGATTTATAAGAGTAAATTCAACACAGTCAGAGTTAAATCTTTAACTTTCAAAAAGGACTGTATCAGATGTCCTTTGGGTTCTGTGGTTACGTACCACTGTTACTGACCATCCTGGTAACCTCTCAGGTATATCAAGAAGAAGTAACCTTATAAAATGTGGACAACTGGAAAGTGTAAACCGCACTCTCAACACTGTCACTAAACAAGTCCTCTCAGATGATTTATCGCTCTTCCACATCATCGCCTTGTAATATTTTTCCACACCTGTCGGTCAATAATCCTATGTAACATTTTGTTACTTCTTAACTCTGAAATACTTGATAACAATTCGAGTTCACAGGAAAGCACCATGGGATCTCAGCAACATATTCAGTGGATCTCTGAATCCAAGTAAAAACTTTTAAAGAATGAATACATCCTTAGCATAGTGATTGATTGTAACCATATCACGTAAAATTTCCAACCATTGATCTTCAACATATCGACTACCCCAGTCAGTCAGTCAGTCTATTCCTAAATACACGGTTCAGATCAGTGGTCGAAGTCTTCAAAGACCATTGTCATATTGATATAGACTGACTTACTGACTGGATTAGACAAGGTGAGCAGTTAGAATCACCATGGGACTTAGAGTTACTGCGTAATGTTCCATATTGACAAACCTTATATCAGCAAATCAAAGTAGAAGGTGAAAAGGTAGGGAAAGAAGATTAAAATTAATCAAGACTGATAGAAAGTTGTACAACAAGAACAAGAAGATAGCAAACTATGATAAAGTCTGATATAATGATTAACATGAAGATAATATTTGGATGCATCTGCGCAAAGATCGATTCGAGCCATATTATCTAAAGTCTTCAGTCACTGATTTTATTGTTACGTGAACTACAACTATATTCCATACACCGCGCAGACCAACAATTCGTTATATAAACTGATGTCATGTTTTAGTCTGACCATCCCTAACCTTCGTATAGTCTGAATCGACTTCAGCTGATATTGTGCGATGAGACACATAGTAACCAGGCGCACGTGACATCTTTAGTGGGCATGTTTCAAGACCATAAAGTAGAACAGAGCGAACCATCGCTCAATAGATTTGATGCCTAATAAGATTTCGGATATCACATTGGCACTATAAATGGCAAGAGCCAATCACGCCTTTTGTATTCGTGTATGGATTTCGTCGGTGAATCACTCACCAGGAATTGGTCCAAGTTTCCAATTCAGTGATGGCAATGAAGAACAACAAATTCACCCATAAGTGAACAGCTTTTTGTGATTTGTCTCTTGATGTAGTTCACTAAACAACTATGTTGACCTACTTCGAAATTCTTTATCTTCATCACATGCATGGCTGAACTACTGGCCATATATGGTGTGAAGTGTTTTGTTCTAGTATTTTTGAATAAAGCAAATCAGCTATTTTAGCCTGTTTAGCAAGCATTTCCTACGTATAACTTCAAGATCACTACCTTTGATTTCCTCCATATGGCTTTTGTTTATAAGCATAGTTGGCTTTGCAGTAAATTATCCTTCCTGACTGTTAATTGTGTTTATTTACCTATAACCTAATTATTTACCGCTACATTGTTTGATAGACGTGCATATATTCACTATTGCTTCTTTTTATCTTTCAGAAAATTTTGATGGAAGTAGCTGTCACTGGAAAAGTTCAAGTTCCGTCATCTGAATTCCCGCTTAGCTTGTAGTCGTATTCTTCTTGTAATCTCTTTGTACTTCTATTGCAATGGCTTAGTGGTGACTCTAAAGCTTTGTTAGTTTTTAAAAATGTTTTTGAGTAAGAAATTATTCTTTTGAACTCTTCAACTTTCCTAGTTTTTATACCAGGTTCATTTACAACTTTTCTGTAAGAAGTCCGCTGTATTTTCGTCAACCTGTAAAGCATCGTTTCGTTTAGATACACGCTTAGCGGACACTTATCTCTAAGGGTCCCACTTATATTAAAGCATATTCATCAAAATTGTAGGAAGGATCAGCACTTTCTAAGGAATACCTGACAGAAGTTCAGAATAGGCCCAGGAAAGACAAAAACCTCTCACAGAAGTACGTTACTTCAAGTTCTCACACTTTACGATGCTGTACAAAGAACAACTGGATGGGAAAGATTGCTATCAAAATAAACGAAAGTATGTGGGGGGGGGGGGGGAAAGGTAATTTGAAAATGACGATTTATCGAAACATCCAAGCTTTCTAAGATGTGACGGTGTGAATACATCTGTGCCATTGTAACTGATTTCTAACCATGTCACCAAGTGTCCTCAAACACTGAATCATATAGTCTGTGGGACCTCAGCTAGGTTGTACACAACTCCTCATATGGATAAGACCAACAGTCATAGAACTCATGAACTGCTGCCACATTTTAGTCTGTCCACTATGAACTCTCTTCTAACCTCTCAATCGATAGCTGCTATCCTGAAATGGGGCTTGAATATCACAATGATCCAACGAGCTACACTAGCTGAAACGTTTATTCCCTCGAGGTCCTACGATAACAGAAAAGCCTGTTGGATAGTGGTCAGACGTAAAGGAGTTACCACTAAAATGTACCATATTAAACTATGATAAAGGCCTGAGGAGAAAGTGTTACACCTAGCTGGACCGAGTTGCGATGGCAGTAAGGTGTTTCCCTTGGATGACCAGAAATGCTACGCTGGTGCTGCCACTCCTATGAGAACAGTGGATTAGAAACGGTCTGATCAATTCCCTGCCTCCGTCCTTGAAAACTTTGGGTGGCGAATTTTCAGGTCCTTCTGCTTCGCATTGTTTCAGGGATTATCAGAACAAAATTCCAACAGACTATCACCGTTTTCAGCTCGTTGGCATGAAATTACATAAAAAAACCTTAAGATGCCTTGCCGATTGGCTCAGCTCAGCTTCCCTATTTCAGCGTTAAAGTCACCTGCTATTATGACTTCGTCTGAACGTTCGCCTTTCTGTGGCAAAACTGACAGCTTCTCATAGAATTCATCCTTTGCGTCACCCAAACTGCAGTCGGTGAGTGTTTAGGCGGGGTCTACGAATAGGCATCGGTTGGTCTCATGATCCTTCCTAGTTCTTACAGATCAATTCAGTCGAACAACACATGGACGGCTGTTGACTACTATGCAGTGGAGAAGTGCACTTTCTACTCTACAACTCTATACTATGCCTCCATCAGCGAATCCACGAGAAATAGCCATTGGATCTCCGAATGCTCGTCAGGCAAATTTTGAAGACTCACTATTATGCCCAGGTGACGTCAATCCAATAACCACACTCAAGTCCTCTATACGTGTCTCAGAGACACAGCATACATCCATGACTGGACATTCCTGAGTTCTGACGAGTGATGCTTGCTGCCCAACTTGGCATAGAGTTAAGACGTTGAAAGCTGCTACATGAAATCGATAGTGGGGTCTTAGGAGACTAGGAATGAGGTTTCAATGGCTTTCATCTTTCCCAATGGTTGCAGAGTGAGAGGTTGAGTAAGGCCTAAGAGGCTTTGTATTAGTATCAAGAGATGAAGGGGAAGGAGGAGACAGCTGAGAAGAGATTGTGTTTGATTGCGTGTTGTATACTAGTGGAAGCGTGCGGGCGGTTGACACTTCCTGGCCCCATACAACTTGGAAGACTATTTATTGTTGAGGTACTTGAAAGAGGAAATGATTCGTGTTACATAGTACATCTACGTAACATCTGTCACATACAGCCTTTCTTGTATTGTTTGTACGAAAACTGATTGTTATGTCGAGTAGAGAAAACCCATAATACCAGCACCGGAAGACCGAGCGGCAGCCTGTAGGGCGAATCTTCCCTAGCCGCTCTTGCCGTTGGGAAGCTTGCTCCAGCGTGGCGTGGTCCCAGTCAGCCAAGCAAAACGCCTCACTGCTATCACACCTCATCCAACCAGGTGTAAGAATTCGCTCTCAGACCCCCATCATAGTGTAGTAATTTACACTATGATGGTCACTCCTTTCCATCTTACCACTATCCAACAGACCTTTATGGTACGGTAGGACTTCGATGAAATAGGCTTTCCCACCAGTGTAGCTCGATGAATCATTGTGATATCCGATCCCGATCACCATGTTAATGTAGCAGTTATCGGTTGAGTGATGTCCTGATATTGTGTAGTGAAAGTCATGTAGCCAGACAAACAATCCGTCACAGTGCTAGAGATACGCTAGACTTGTGTGGTCATCTTTTCAGTTATTTGCCTGCACAGCCGATCTCAAAATGTTTCTTTACGTCTGTTCGTAGTTGCGCACAACTTATGCCACAAAAAAGTAAATGCTTAAAAGGATGAATGACTTCATTACAAGGTTTATGTTTGAGAGTCGTAATAATCTAAATTTTTTTCAGTTCGTGTGTGAAATACTACCAACATCAATGTGTGCCCAAATTTTTGACACCAGTTTTTCACGAAGAATCTTGGCATTTTTTTCTCGTACTTCTCTATTTTTAGGTATTTTAAGTTAAGCAATATTATTGATTCGTTAAAACTTGCGTGTGTGTGTCTGTAATAGGTTGTGAGCCTCACTTATTGTTTAAGGGTACGTTACACTGCCTGCTTGCTCAGACCAAGATAAATGTTCGAACCTATGATTCACTGCTTAAAAGTTGGGTGTGTAAACCTATAAACCATATCTATCTTAGTTTGGATACGGAAGGCCCGTTTGGCATTTGCCAACTTGTGTCACCTGTGGCGTCGGTGAGATATCCGTCTATCTATCAAAGGACGACTATACGGTGCTGCAGTCCGTCCTATCCTGCTTCGTGACATGGCCGTTAAAATTGGGAGACATGAAATAGTTACGATTTTTCAACCGCAGCTATCTTCGTAGCATTGCTCGAGTGTGGTTGAATCAAAGTGTGAGCATTGTTGAGGTCAGGCGAAAGGTACTAGGCAAGTCAAGTGACGAGGTTGTGAACGTGTCAACTGAGATGGATTGGACGTGTGTTGTGCACGCCGAGTCACCGTTTATGTCTACGTACTATGCTAGGTTAAGCTAGATTGGTTTGGAAGAGGGTGGCCAGACCGAGAGGCGGTACCAATTGACGAAGTCTCTGACTGTTTGTTTACTCTTTTACACTACTTTGATATCACTCCTTTTCTATCCATTTGTCTGTCGTGTACTTCTGTGAAGTGTGGCAACTTGAGCAGGTGAACTTGTGTGAAAGATTTTACGGGGATGTTGTCAGTCTTGTGCTATATCTTTATTAATGTACTTGACTCCATAAGTATATTCTCGCATAATACGGATTGTTATTAAAAATTTCCTAGCGTGTTTATCAAACCAAAGATGTATACCAATTAAATCTGTGTAAGCAGCCTCTTTGAACCCCACTGATAATACCGAAGATCTCTAGTTTCTGGGACTTCGAAGAAGTATATTACAAGCTGAAAAATGTCCACAGTCATCTGTTACATCAGCCTGAGAATTATTCTCATCCTATAAACTAAACGCAGTTGTGCCAGTTACGATTGATAATTTCAAACTTGATATTATTCCTACATCCACTCCTAGTAACATGGTGAAACTGTTGGAGATATGTTTATTCCGAAATCCGCATTCTGATTATTAAAATGACTGCTTATACAGTGGTTTCGAACAGAACTCACGATATCACTAAGAAAGAGGATGAAAACCAACCATCACAAGCTGTACCAGGTCACTTCCAGTAGGGTTAACACAATAGTTGTTTTGACTTAGTGGTCTAGTGGATAACGCCGTGGCGTTTGAAGCACTTGGCCCTTGATCCGAATCCTGGTGGGAATAACATCACTCACTGGAAAGCAGGTACACCATCTAACGAGTCACAAATAGGATGGAACGTACTTCCTGCATTCCACTGCTAGCCACTACTCTTACAATATTCTTTCCATCTGGGCCAAATTTTTGTATGGAAACAACTAATTTACTGTTATCGAGTAAATCGTTTTTAAAGGTCAAATATAAATGAATATTCTTTTCAACAATTCGTTAAATTCTACGGCGACAAAATTAGACTTGTAACAGATCAATAGTCAGAATTTGTGGGGAAAGTGTTTTCTGATGCATGCCAAATGATAATTAGGTTGAATTTAGTTTATGGATGATACCATCACACCATACTACAAGAAAAACGAAAATTTCAGACATTACGGTCATTGAAAAAGCAGGAAAAAGGAATACAATCTCTACACCTATGGAACTAGAGGAAAGCTTTATTTAGTCAGCCACGTGAATGGACTACGATGGAGAACATTACTATTAGCCTTCGTTGAAAGGATTTCCGCTTTTCTGGAGTACGTATTTAGACTGCGATCACGCGCTGGTGCGTGTTCATGCGTATCTGCACGTTTCTGGTCACAGGAACCAGATGACAGTAAAACCTGTCTGTTCTCAAATAGAACATAAGGACGCCAGGTACGTATTTATGGAGGAAATACTAAGCAACTATTTGAAAATGACAGCAGTGGTCGTCCTAAGGAAACCTGGCAGTAAAGACAATTGGTGACTACACCAGAGGGTTAGCAAACGTCGTTGGATTTCCGCAAGGTTATGAAAACTGATTGATGCAAGAACATTGATTACAACAGTCTCTGACCACGACGAATAGCGAAAGCAACCTAAATGTAAGTTGACCAAGAGTCTTTATACCGATCGCGAGAAGTTGTGTGCCGAATGCGAGAGAGTTGGCATGAACGTTGAACCATAGTCGG